TAGTATGAGTTCTGTTATATTTTATTATTGACTAATATTCTGTCATATATGTTATGTCCACACCTTGTATATTGTGAATAATTCTTACTGAACATGACAATGCAGAATTTTCTTCAAGATTCTAATTCCATTTCATTCAGATATACTCCCAGAGATGAGATTATATGGTGGTTCTATTGCAAATTTTTTGAGAAACCTCAATAACTGTTTTCTATAATTGTTGTACCAGTTTACATTTCCACTAATAGTATCACTTGATTTCCTTATTCTCTACACCTTCAACAACAGGTGGTGTTTCTTGTCTTTTGCAAAGTAATCATCCTGGTAGCTACATAGTGATATTTTTATGGTTTTTGTTTGTGTTTCTATGATGGTTAGCATGATTTTCAGCATTGAGTACTTTTTAAAATATCTATTGATATTTGTTTCCTTTGGAAATAGTGGTACTCTGACCCATTTTTAAGTGGTGCTGTTTGTTTTGTTTTTACTTTTGTTTTTGCTATTGAGTTGTGTGCATACGTATCTTAAAAATTAAATACCTGTCAGATATTTCTTTTGTAAATTCTGAAATATAGACTGAAATATCAGGCTAAGGCAGGCGGATCCTTGCAAGTTCAAGACCGGCCTGGACTACAACATGAGTCCAAGGCCAGCCTGAACCACATAGTGAGATTGTGTATCAAAAAGACAAAAAAATGTATATTCTTCATAATTTTTTTCTCAGATTATGTCTTACATACAAACATTCATTGCATAGTATTTTAAGATCTATGTCTTAATTCTTTTTGAAAAAGAAATCATATAAATGATATATATGAAGTGTGTTTAAAATATGGTAAATACTTAAATTTGAAAAAAAAAATATTACACTGAAGGACACATTGTCATCAGTTTTTCTCACAGCATCACCATTCCTTTGGACATACTCATCCTAGGATTCTTTCTGCTTTCTAAAGCAGTTCTGGAAGTCCTCTTTCTTGAGTATGTTTATTTGTGTTGCTGTGGCTTCTTGATGTCCAGTTCACAATGTTTATCTCTCAGGGTCAATTTTGACTTTGAGAATAGCTGGAAGTCACACTGTGATCTGGATATGGTTATGCATGCCTGTAATTGCTGCACTCAGAAGGCTGAGCCAGGAGGCTCATGATGATTTTGAGGCCACACTGCATTACATAGCTAGCTCTGATCTCAAACTGAGGATGTCACCATATATAAAAGAGGCTGTTTGTCTGTTAGATGGTTCTTGGTAGCAGGTTTTACTAATTTTATATCACAGCTTGTAAAGACAAAGTAATGTAGAGTATTTTGAGGAGGATCCATGGCAATGCATTTTTTATTGGGATAATGTTTTAAAAATTTAAACATTCAGCCCATTTGTTAGCTATACTTTTATACACTTGAAACATCTTTTCTATTTCAAGATAAATCCTCTATCTATACTCTGTGAATAGAACTTTGCATTGCTGTGAAAAAATATTTCTGATAAATAGTTTAAGAGAAGTGAGGTTTTTTTTTTTGTTGTTTTGTTTTGTTTTGTTTTGTTTGTTTGTTTTTTTTGTTCATGAATTGTGACTCCTGTCCATGGTCTGCTGATTTCAATTCCTTTAAGGAGATGATGATATAGAAACACCATGAATTGGAAAAAGGCATTATTTATCTTGTGATTTTGTGATTTCCAGAAAGCAAGGAGAGAGAGAGAGAGAGAGAGAGAGAGAGAGAGAGAGAGAGAGAGAAGCCAAGAATAAGATACAGTTCATACTGTCACACTCTCATCATTCAACTCCTATAAACAGTTCACATCACCTGAGATTCCAATGCCTCCTATTGGTTCCATCAAGTTCAGACCTTATTAATGGAATCCACAGATGAACTTAGAGCACTCATAGACCCATCGCTTTCTGAAAACCCCACTTTTGTACTCTGTGACTTTTGGAGGACATTTTGATTTAAGTCATAGAAAATTCTGATTGTTGCTTTATTGAAATAAATTGGAGAAAGTTGCATTATAATATTAATCAGTTATTTCATAAATCACTGTGGTATAATAAACAGTTTACTGGAGATGCCATCATTATCTATGTTAACTTTTTATTTTAGTGTACTGTCAGAGATAGAAGAACAAAATGCTGTTAGGAACACAGACATTTGTATTACACTCATTTAGCTCCAGGAGATGAGAATCTACTTTCACATCCTGCTATAAGTATTAGCTAACATTCTGTTAGTTGCAAACTGTGGTGTAAAGCAGATCACTTCAAAACATTGAAGCATAAGGCAAGGTGCAATTACTTGTCATTCCTTGGAAGAGGATGAATCAGTTTTTGAGACATCAAGACATTTGACACCTTCACCAATGTGACAGCCCTAACACTTTCTGTACAGCTTGCATTGTACCCTCTGCACAGCAAGTGTTTTCATTAGACAGTCAAGATAATTACAATTTATTCTGCTCAGGACATCTACTTGACCTGCTGTCATCAGTATCACGTGGAATGAGAAGATGTTCCATGGCAAGTTTATGTGATGTATTTTGTTCAGCCTACTTTGCAACTAGGAACAAGACAATTAACATAGCCTGAGACCAAGCTGAAGACCGTAGCCACTGATCATTCCAGATGACAAAGAACTGCACCAGAGGACAGGGACAGATTGTGTCTCCATTTTGCTGCTGATCCCTGCCTCTGGTCCTGCAAGGGGCCAGATATTCAGAAAATTAGGTGTTCTCAGCAATGATCAACAAGGGAAGACAAAAAATATTGAGAATAGAGACTAATAAATTCTCTTTAAACCAATAAGAAGCCCCATGATCTGCATTTATCTTTCTTTTCAGATTGGAAGTACCTTTGCTTCTTGGATCTTACAATGACCTTCTTTGGGATGCAGGCTGAGCAAAATAGATATGGCAAAGTCAAGATAAGTCCTTATTACAGCTCTTCAGGTTTCTACTATTGTAGGTTCCAGGTGCGACTACTTGGACGATGCTCAAAGTGACAGTGTTACTTAAATCCGTAACTCACTTTTTTCTTTCTGTCTGTCTATCTTTGTTTCTTTCTTGCTTGCTTCATTTCTTTCTCTTTCTCTCTCTCTCTTTCTTTCTTCTTTCTTTCTTTCTTTTTTCTTTCTTTCTTTTTTCTTTCTTTCTTTCTTTTTTTCTTTCTTTCTTTCTTTCTTTTTTTCTTTCTTTCTTTCTTTCTTTCTTTCTTTCTTTCTTTCTTTCTTTCTTTCTTTCTTAAAAGCCATGTGAAATTATACCTGTTTCCTTTTAGACTACATTTGTGGTAATTTTCATATGCATATGTTTATGTTCTGTTGATGCATGGTTTCAACTTTCAGAGGTGAGACTGTGCCGACCCAATCTCCAGCTGTGCTGTCTATGATGCAAGGGAAGGCAGCCACTATCACCTGCTGGGCCAGTCAGAACACTGCCTCTGAAATGCATTGGTCCAGTAGAAACCAAATTAGGCTCCAAACCTCCTCATTCAGTGGGCCTTCCAGTCCATATCAGGGATCTATGCGAGGATCAGTGACAACAGATCTGGCACAGATTTTACCCTCACCAGCATCAGCCTGTGACCTGATGATGTAGCAAGTTATTACTGTCACCAGGGATAGATTATTCTTCACACTATGCCACAAACCAGAAGAAAAACTAGTTCAGCATGGGTAAGCTGGGAGATTGGGTGCTACCACCCTCTTCTGATCTTTGCAGGTGCACATGGGTCATGGACCTCACAAACACCATGAGGTTTGGTCACCCAATCAGAGCTGAAATTTCAGAGCCATTGCTTCACATATTAGTTGCAACTTCAATTTTAGGAATTTTTCTAAATAAATGAGTAGTTGTTAAAGATAGTTCCCTTTGCATCTATCTAAGGTTTTCTTACTATGTCCTTTACAAATTGGTAAAATTTTGCATGATTCCTTGGGGGCTATAATTAGTCAGTAAGGCACATGATTTTCAAAGGGGAAATATTGTGAAATTACCAACATTTGCTTGGAGTTGAGGGGGAAAGAAAAGACGCCTGGACAAGAAGCCCTCAGCCTTGAATCATTTCCTAGTACTGAAAACAGCAGAATATTCTGGGTTCCCCACTCTTTCCCCAAACTACCTTTTTGTCATTTCATGTAGTCATATATTTGGACCTTACCTACCCTATGATCATTATCTTTTCAGATTATCTGGAGAATTATTAGTTGTTCATCCTTAATAATTGCATCGTTTATTACGAAGATGAATCATGTAAATTTCTATAGACTCCTGTCTGGTAATGGGCAGAAAAATTCAGGTTCCTGAATATGAGATTGGAGGGGAGATTCAGTGAAGAAATTAGGGCCCCAATGAAAATGTTTGCTGTTACAAAGCTTTCATTAAATGGCAAACACACCCCACAATACATAAAGCCAGAGTCCTCATCCTAGAAACTAAATAAATGAATTTTGGAATGAGTGCTGGATGTTGAAGTGAGAATTTTCCATTAAAGGAGGGAGCTCTGTGTCCAGCTCTCTATGCTCACATGGCTGTATGTTCAAGTCACAATGGGCCATGTCTCCTCCATCTGCCAGTTCCTCAGGATTTCCTGCTTTACTCTGTGATGTGTAATGTACCTGGCTATGATGCTCCTTCTAGGAGGATTCTTAAGAGTCTAAACTCTGTGAGCAATGAGACCGGACGGGTGAGAGAAGCAGGTACACAACTCTGAAGTTGGGTAGCCATAAGTCATACAGAGATAAAAATCCTTGTGAATTCAGAGAGGGAGAGGAGAGAACATGTAGATCCCATCTACATTCAAAGGTGCAAAGTGTGTTGTGAACCAAAACTAGAACAACATTGACTCTATTCATGGGAGAACAACTGGATTTTGCTTTATGGTTGCCATTCTCCCTTGTGGGAAATCTGTGCCACTCAGGCCTAGAAGTGGCCCCAGAAAACCTTGGACCACTGAGGAGATGACACAGCCCTGCAGCTGTGTGCCATTCTATCCAGCCTCTGCTGATTTGCATATGCACAGAGCACAATCCATGCCCTAAATATTTCTTCACAGGCTGCTCACACCTTGTGCAGGAGTCAGTCCCAGTCAGAACACGGCACAGACATGAGGATCCCTGTTCATCTCCTGGGGCTCCTGGTGCTCTGTCTCCAAAGTGAGAAAGGATTGATCTTATGATTTAGTCTACTTAGAGTTCCATGGTCAGAATTGCATGGTGCTACAGGGAAGTCCTGTTTTACCATGGTTGTGCTAATACTTGTTGTTTCTAATTTCAGGTGCCAGATGTGACATCCGGATGACTCAGACTCCATCCTCCTTGCCTGCTTCTGTGGGAGACACAGTCACCATCAAGTGTAAGGCCAGTCAGAGTATAGGCTATGCCTTAAGTTGGTACCAACAGAAACCAGGGAAAACTCCTCAACTGCTGATCTATGATGCAACCAGTTTGGGATCTGGGGTCCCATCAAGGTTCAGAGGCACTAGATCTGGGACAGATTACACTCTCACCATCAGTAGCCTGCAGCCTGAAGATGTTGCTACTTATTACTGTCTGCAATCTTATGGTACTCCTCCCACAGTGATACAAGCCATATCAAAAACCAGCCAGCAAAGCAGAAGTGTGAGGCTGGGCTGCCCCAGCTGCCACCCCTGCTGTGCTCAACTGCAGAGAGCAGTTCTCAGTCAGACAGGCTTGGAAGTTCCTTGGAGGCTTTAGAAGAAGGAACAAGGCCTTCTTCTATACTCCCTCTCTCTTTTTCCTCTGCTTCAGAGCACAGATATGACAGTGCATGTTCTGATTTAATGAAGACACAGATGAGTACCCAAGAGCACTTTGGATTATGACATCATTTTGGTTTCAGACAGCAACAGAGAAGCCCTTCTGTGCATTCTAAGAAAGAATTTTTAAAGACTTACTACAATTTTAGAGTAAATTGAAGGCTGTAGAAAAAATTTAAAACACAGAAGTGGCTTTTATAACACTGCCCACATGACTATGCATCATCATCAATGTCCAAGGAAAATTTTTTTGCAAATGACCAAGATTAATAAATGTGCAAAGTCCATAGTTCACGTGAAAATTCACTCTTGATATTGTACATTTTCCCCAGGAGAGACAACTGCAATACACATGCAGCATTTGGTACCATCCAATTTTGTTTTAGTGCCCTAAAAATCCTCTGAGTTCTCCACATTTATTCTCTTATTTTGTGCTTTATGATTCCCATACTGTATCCTTTTTAAAAATGACAAAAATCTTGCCTTTATAGCATAGAAGTTTTGGAAAGATAATTTCAGAACAGACTGTATTAAGAAACACAGTAATTAAAAGACATTGGTAACACATCTTTGTATTTACAAGGTTCCATTAATCCTTTCTATGATTAACTAGAATATCTTGGCTTAGTGATGGTTTTGGAATAGAAGCTTTCAATGCATTGATTCTTCTCAAAAGTCACCAGATATACATAGATTTGCATGGAGTAAGTTTCTAATACTATTTTTAAAACATGGGGATGAATATTTATGTTTTGCCCCTACCTATAATTGGATTCACAAGTAGATATTTAGAACTCTCACTGTATTTGCTTATATCACTTAGAGTCATTCACTATTTCATGGAACCTAACATGGGCTCTTTGTCCTTTGCTCAGGAGAGTGCCCAGCAGGCTATCTTTGGTTTTCAGCATTAGAAGAAAAGAAGTAGATTCATTTCATGCTGAAACATATCTCCTCTCCTTACTCTCACTTCTCCCTATGATATTTTATGACTGCAAATTGGACACGTCTCACAAACACAGTGTCTCTGCTAAGTGTGAGAAGCAGGGTTAATTGCTGGGAAGCAAACGGAGGTGGCATAGATGGGGTAAGGTCCCCAATATGCCCTTTATTTTTCCAATCGAGATGGCTGCAATAGAAGTAATGTCAGCCATTGTAGGGACCCAGTCTTTAAGGTGCACTATTGTTTTGCAGAAATACTCAGACTTGGGTGAGGAATGCAGCCCGTCTCTGTACCCACTTTCCTGCTTCCTCATCCCAGCGGTAAGATGTTCTTATCTGTTCCCTACTTTGCCATAGTTACTCATTTCTTCTCGATTAAGGTTTGCCTTTTCAATGAGTATTAATGAAGATAAGTTCTAAAACATGTAAAGCACAGAAACATGGTAAGAAGATTGTAATTAATTAGTGAAAATAAATAACATAATGAACTCTATCTCTTTGATATTCTATCAAATGCTAATTAATGGAAATCTGAAACAAAGAAACAAGTAGTTAGAGCAACTAAAACTGTTAATTCCTGATGAAAATAAGGAACTTATGAGCTCTTGGCAGATTAACTTGGCACAGGTGTAGTAATTTACTCTCCTACCTATCAGATGCCCTCCAAGGCCTCTGAATAAAGTCCATGAAAATAGCAGTACACACAGCATCCCAGGTCAGACTAACCAAAGCTACTTTATTCATAACAGCCTGAAGTGGAAACTATCTAAGTTGTCATCAGCTTATGGAGAAACAAAGGATGGTGTTGCCATGGTTAAACAGTGCACAGAAATAAAGGCCATAATATTTGTACATGGAACAAAATGAATCTTGCAGAAACAACATTCATTATCAGGTGTTTTTATGTGCTGCATCCATTGGTCTGATGATTTTCCTTTTTCATTGTTGTGTTGTGCTTGTTTCTGCCTATGAGTTGTGTTTTTCTCCCTTTAGTTTTTAATATTTCATGGATTCTGTTTCCTCTGAGGTAGGAAGACAAATGCTGCCCGGTAGGTTTTTGTTCTTGAGATTCTCCTGCGTTTTTAACTGCTGTGCTGTGGGGGTTTTGAGGATGCTGCGCCTTCACAAAACTGAGATCACTGTCCAAGCACATTCTCCCACCCTCTGCACCAAACACCGCCCACTGGGAGCTCTTTCCTTCCTTTTAGTACAATCAGTCACCGTGTTTGTACATTTTAGCTACTACTGATATCTACTGAATCTTCTCACCTTCTTGTTAACTCTGTAAACTTGTATTTAATTGCTCAATGAATTATTTTCCACCTGAAATCAGGGTCTTTACTGAAGTGAAATGAACCATCATTTTTCCATCAAAAAATACGCTTTTTTGCATTTAATATTTTTTCATTGAAAGTTAAGGTTTCCACAATCAACTTAATGTCATCGTGTGATTTCCAAGAAGAGGTAATAGTTTTCATCGGCCATATCTACTTTTGCAGTACTAATTGAAGGACCAAAGCAGGATACAATATTGGTGTAAATGAAATTTAATGGAGCAGAGTCTGAAACTGTTAAATAGCAAAGATTTCAAGCATTGGATGCAATTTTGAGATTTTTGCTACGGGGACCAGAAAACACATCTGTCCTTTCTCAGCTTGTGCCCTGAATGTTGTGGCCATGTGAGTAAAGTCAACTTGCAAGGATCAAAGAAAAAAGAATGAGACCTGTAAACATTAAAAGATCTCATTAATCCATTAAGAGTTTACTGAAAATAATATGCTTTGCCTCATAGGCCATGTAAAATTGAACCAGCAACACCAGAATCAGACCCTTGGATGATTTTATTTATTTATTTTTAAATTGGAAACTATTATGATAAATTTTAGCAGACATGTGGTCCTGGCTCTCTTGCACAGCTCAGAATTTATTTTCTCTTCAGAACTTGTAGGTCCTGCTGTGCATCCCTTGCTGCTGCTCTGCTTGTTCTCCAAAGTCCCTGTCTGTCACAAACACTCAACAGAATGAGGTCACTGTCTCTGGACAAAGATCAACCTGAATCAAGTGAGGCAGTGAGTTGCAGGCCTGAAGCTGTGGCCCTCTGAGTCCTGGTTCTCTGGATCCAGGTGAGACAGCAGGGTGTGGAGAGGCCTCTGTGACATGGCCCATAGCAGCCAGGAGTCTGAGGTTGAGACCATGTGCACTATGGTCACATCTACTGTCCACTTTATCAGCCAGCATCACACTTTCTAGAAAGAACAGTGGGGGACATTATTCACTGAGGGGCTGTAACTCAGTAAAACAATATATTTGTGTTTATAACCTTAAGGAATACTCTCAGAGTAACTAATACATACGGAAATTTTGCACAGTTAGTTCATTTTGTTGACAGTCTTTTAGGAGAATTATATGTTTCCTTAAGTGCAAAGCTATAACTAGAAGGAACAAAACAGCTCAGACTTAAAAATTTAAGAAAAGAATCCAAAAACATATATCATAATAAATAGTTAAATTAAATCATAAATGAACTGAATTATGCTGGTGTTAACTGCTAATTATCCAAAGGATAGAGTCTTTAGTACTCAAGTAAAAATTCTATGAAGTAAAGGATAAACCAGTATAACATTATTTTTTTTTTTTCTATCTTGAAATTAACATTCAGTGTCTGGAGCAAAGTGTTTGCTATTCTGAGATGGCTGCTCTCTTGTGAGTCTCGGAAGAGGAGGTGATAATACATGTGCCTGAATAAAGCTTAGGAGTCACCTCCCTTAGTACTCTAACTATATTATAAAAGTAGTTTGTAGTGCCATCCCTTAAAGGCATGTGGGAAGAGGTTACCTGATAGCATTTCTCTACTCAATACATAATCAGAACCTTGGCTGTGTATTACAAGGTGATGGTGATTATAAAGAGGAAGCAGGGAAGCGAGGGAAATAGGATTCTAACTCAGAGTTTTCTTGCAGTGAGAAAACGAGGACGTGTGAGGTTACTTTTTCTTCTCTGCATTAACCACTATATTAACTACTGATTTCAGCAATAAATTCAGGAGATGTTTCCTGATCTGTGACTCATAAATTTTCTTCCTTACATATATATATATATATATATATATATATATATATATATAAAATCATGTTTATCATTTTAGAATTCCTCAGAATAACTAGTAAATATTGAACAAATGCACTTCTAGTTTTTATAGTGTTTGAAGGTAAATATATGTTACCTCAGTGACAAAGATTTAACTGAATGCAATAAAATAAATAGTAATTGACTATAGAAAAGTAAAAACTTACAGCATTATAGATAAAAGTATAATTGCCTTTGAAATATAAAACATCCTAGTGAACAAAACAAATGAAATAATCTATGTGTATGATTAATTAAACAAACTATATAGCCTTTTTTTTTGTGTGTGTCTTTTTCCTTTTTATCGGTAATGGGGATCGAACTCATGACTGCCTGCTTGCAAGGCAGGCACTTATGCCACTCAGCTAAATCCCCAGCCCCAAACTATATAGCCTTAATGAACCAACACTAAAAAATGCCAAAAATAAGGGATAAACCTGAATAATGTGCTACCATATTTATCTTGAACATAAAAGTCTGTAGTAAAGTATTTGCTATTCTGAAAATATTGTTTATATATTATCACCTCCTTGTTCTTTTTGGACATCATCCATCCTCTTGGAAGATTTCTGGAATGAGCAAATATTAGTGATACTCTGAACAACACCTGCAACAGCAGAGTCACCAATCTACCATCAATGAAGCTCTGATAAATTAGGAACTGCTGTGTCCCATAGCTGTGATAATATATTCCTAGCATTTAAGTTCATTTTTTCAAAGAAAAGTGAAAGCAATGTTTGCTCACAGATGTTAAACTATGAGACATGAATCTGGAGATGCTGGAGGCCCTTAAAGGAAGGAGGTGTTAGTGGAAGCAGGAATGTGCCTGGGCTCCAGTGCTAGCAGTGATCCCTTTCTCATGCCCCACGC